TACAAGGTGTGCAAAGTTTTGCACCCCGCCTAAAGCATGCCGAAGTCTAACTAAGGCTACGCTTTCAAGAAACTTTGCGACTTCGAAAGACGCACTGTGCTGCAGCTCTAAGCTACACTAAGGCCGGTAAGGAGAAAGAAACAACAGCGTACCTAGTACAGTAAAGCTCCAAAACATTCTCACTCACGTGCACAAGCACTGCCGCTCGCCGGTCGTTGGCTTGACCTACCGACACTACAAAAGAAAGACTACAGGCGCGATTGCACCGTCTGCCTACGGAAGTCGATGCAAGCCGCTCGAAAGCAACCTACACCAACTATGCATGCTTGACTAAGGCAAGCGGACCCTGTAACAAATGGGCAGAGCTTCACGCAAGAAATTCAAGAAACAGCTTGTTGCAGGACGCTCAGTGAGGATTCGACCATTCATGTGGGATCATGCAAACGCCAAGTGAATCATCCAGAAGGCATTTGCCCTGTACGCAAAACGATTGAAGGCACTTCACCAACAACCAAAAGTATTGGAACCTCCTATTTAAGGTTCGCATGTGACGGAATGCATCATCGTCACTAGCACGAATCATCAGCAGTGCACAACAGGGCACACGTTGTCGGATTTGCCAAAATGGCTCGGAGTCTTTAAGATTGATGGTGCAAAATGCACCATAGATTTCAAGGATGTCGCACTCGTGCATGTTCGCCAAGCGGTGGCATCAGCAACATGAGCATTTGAAGCTATGTACAAAAGCCTATGCACAAGGCGTCCCATGGTATCAACTTCACAGCTGTGCCGGATGATGACACCAAGAAAACACCGCATCATGAACATCACAAGATCACCACAAGAAAAGAAAATGGCTTCAGATTCACGGGCACAAACCTTGTCACGGATTGCACTTCTTGCATGCGCGCAGTCCCTTCTCGATGGCTGCATGGATGTTGTAGCGCAGCACACGATCACAATTATCAAGCTTGAAGCACGACAACTTGTGATAGCACTTGCCATACACAGTGCCCCACACGGTATTCTCGGCGTGTTGCATTCGCCTTGCCTTGGCAACCTGAAAGCCATGAGCTTCTCTGAAGGATCTGGTAGACACCTCAGAGCCACTGCGGGAGAACGGCGTCACGGGTGCCGCTGCTGGCGATGGCGTTGGAGACACATGTGCAAAGGGACCCGGCGCATCACTGGACGATGCATGTTCAAACCTTGGACCTGGTGCATCACTGGACGATGCATGCTCAAACCTTGGACCTGGCCTGGTGGATGCCTTGGACCGTGCACCTTTACGCATTGCAGACATGACGTGTGGAGGGCTCGCAGCTCCATCATCATCAGTTTCACATTGCAAAGGATTTGCAGGGGTTCCAGGTGCAGGGGTTCCAGGGGCAGTTAAGCCAACATGTACGTTCAAATCTCGGTTGAACCGCACTGACACAGAGTTATGCTGGTGCCCGCGATCTTCGATCTGGACCTGCACTTGCCTCACCTGTGAGCCTCTGCACCACCACAGGTACATCAGCAACATCAGCATGAGAACGCTGATGCACAAAGCAGTTGCATGATTCATCACCATGTTTGCAATGGAAGTGCCACTGTCATCGCGCACCCATAAGCCAAGGATCCACACCAACACTCGATTAACCCACTCAGGGATCTCTGTCTCGTCAGATTGGAAATCATCGCCACCATCGCCACCGCCGACGTTGTCATCCGCAGCACGACTCAAGGCGCTAGCAACGGCGATGACGATGCCCCTGAGCAGTTGCTTGTTCACTGCAACGGACGAAGTGGAAGATCTCACCGCACGCACTGCATCCTTCATGGCCTGCTTGTAGCGCACTTCAGAAATTTCATCCTCTCCAACAGGGCGGTCATGAAGAGTGTCCCATCCTCCCAGCAAGTTGAGCAACATCAACATACGGTGCCTCGAGAGGCACTTCGTGTTGAGATCCGCCACATTGACATCCGTGGCTACCTTTCCAAGGACAACAACCTTCTCGGCAACAAGCTGCTGAGTCCACAGGACACGCACTGAAAGATGGCGCACACGTCCGACTCCACTGCGTTCCATCATTGATTTCGCAGCTGAAGCATCTGTGTAATGATAAATCGAAGGAAGATCGGTGTCACAGATGAAGGCGACGAGTTGTCTGATAAACAAAGCATCACATAAGGACGAAGTGGCAGATAACAGCTCGGCTTCACCGCTACTCAAGGCGATCACGCGCTGCGTGCGAGCGCTGCTATACAAAAGGCAGCCAGAAACGAACACCATGCTCGAGCTGACAGACCTCCTGTTGCCTTTGTGAGTGGCCCAGTCTGCATCGGAGTAGGACTCGATGCACATAGCATCGGAAGGGGCAACCTGACCTGAAATGCCACAGTGACGATCCTTGCGATCCAAGATGAGGCCGTGGTGCTGGCCTTCCAACAAGTATTTCAGCAGATGCTTGAGGGCCGCCTGAGCTTTGCGCGTCGGCGCAGACATGTAACTGCTCAAAGCCCGAATGGCCCCTTGACACTCGACCAAGTCCACAGCAAGGTATAGCAGAATGCCGATGGCACACCTGAAGGCTTTGGCATCATCAGCTGGCAGATGATCACTGTTGTCCGCTTCATCAAGCACTGCTGCATACGGCGTCTTCTTAGAAGCGCTGCGCTCATCGATTTTCATCACGCTGAACAGTTTCTCAAAATGCTTGGCAGAAGGAGTCAACAGCACCCGGCCATCTGACAAAAGAGTGTGGTGTCGCTTCAGGAAGGAGATGGAATCTCCCGGGAATTCAAGGACGCTGATGCTTACTCGGTATCGGGACTCAAGCTGGGGCTTCAACGTCTCAAACAAGTAGCGTTTGCTTCCAGCACCCAGCAAATCATCTACATGCATTTGCATACTGAACTTGCCAGAGGGCTCCCTGATCAGAGATGGGAGAGCCGCACACTTCTTGAAGTTCAGAGCCTCATCAAGAAACGAAGAGAACGCCAGATACCATTCCTTGGATCCCTCTCGTTGTCCTGGCAGGACGCGGCCTAAGACAAAATCAACGCCACAATGATTGACGATGACCAACCTGGATTGCTTGACAGTGAGATAGGCATCACTCACATCGATCGATGCCATGACCCAGGGATCATCGGGGTCAGGCTCATGATTCAAGAAGTAGATAGGCAACAATCTGTTGGACACTGCTGTGCTTGCAGGGGAAAACAAGTCATGCCGAACGGAGAGCCATGCATACTCTCGGGCGACGTAGCGGCTTCGACGGTACCAGACAGGGCAACCTCCAGACTCTTTCTCGCGCCATGTGCGCACCATGCGCGTTGTCAGTCTGGTAGGCGTCTGACCCGCATAGTCTTCGTTGTTGGCAGCAGACATGTCAAGCAGCACACCCATTCCTTGAAGGCGAGAGATTTCAATCTGGTCCGCTAAGGAATCAAGATAGGCGAGCTTATCGGCAGAGACATCCGGCTCACTGTCGTTAGTGCGAGGCAAGCACAGCTCAGGATGAAGATCGGCCTCAACCTGTTGATCCTCTAGAAACCCTTCATCATAATTCTCAAGCAGTTCTAAGGTTTCACCGTCAAAAGCCAAATTCGGGCTTTCATCCTCATGCTCGTAACTCACTTGAAGGATCTGGGCAACGCAAGGGGATTCTTCACCTGAGGTCAGCAAAACCCCGCTGACGTCGTCAACAACATGGCCATCAGTGGTCACCAACGAAATTTGCCCTTCAACGGCCATCTCGGCATCATCTACACCTGCAGGCACAACATCAGACCTCTTTGCAACCTTGGCAGGGCGAGGATTCTCACTCAAGTGAAGGTCATCGCTGATCACAGGTGCCGGAGGGTTTTCAGAAGCGTGTACGCTCGGCCCCGGCGACACAGGAGAAGTCCCCGCCTCGCTTGTATCACCTGGAAGGCTTGGCTCATAAGACGGACTGACAGGAAGACTTACTTTGGAAGACACAGGCGAGTCGGTCCCAGCGATCTGCGAAGGGGACTGCACAGCACCTGGAGCGGTTCCCGGCTCAGGTGCAGGGCCCACGTAAGCCGGCACGGGCACAACCACAGGGGCAGCGGGCTTCCTGCGACCAAGCACGAGTTTGCCACCAATGGAAGAAAGGCCATGCTCCCAAACACACACATCAAAGCTTGACGCTAAGTCAGGATCGTAGCTGTCGTCGAATCGACGCACCGAGCGCGTCACGAACACTCCGCCGGGCACTCCAATGATATGTGTGTCACTGCCAACGGCTTTGCCTAGCCACAGTCCATGTCGCCACCTGGCAGAAGACTTGCCATCAGGCTTCAAGTAACCAAGCACCCGTTCACCGAAACGGCACACTGTTCCCCGGTACACCGAGTCTGTCACCGACTCGTAAGGTGTGGTACCATGCATGGGGGTGTATCGGTTCTTTAGCCAACACGCATGACAAAGTGACCATCCATAAATCGGGTGCTGAGGCGAGAACAGCACTTGCCCTTCAGAGGCTCCACAAGCCTTCTCAAGATCATACATCAGGGCAGCTGCATGCTGACGAACACTGCACACAACTTGCTCAACGGGGCCGTTTGACTGGTGTGACTCAATCGGAGAGTTGTCACGTGACACATCAACCCCAAGATTGCGCAAAGCTTTCAGCAAGCCAGTCTGAACCGCTAAAATGGCTGGTTCATTATCACACCTTAGCCTCAGAGAACGATGCCCTGTCCACAGTACAAACCTCGCTGCCTCGGTCACAAGATGAGTGAGAGAACTTCCACCCTTCTGTGCAGTAGGCACGGCATGGACCGCCTTGGTGTGCCTATCATGAAGAAATAAGACGGTGAGCCTGTCGCGGGCTTCTGCAGCATCATCACTGTTCTCACGAGAGCAATAGCCGAAGTCGAAAGACACAACGGATCTCGACCCGTCGCCATGCTGGGCCTCCGTAGGGTGCTTGTCCTGACGACCTCGAAACCTTACGCATGTGTCGCACCATGCTGCATAAGGCTCGTGAGTGAGCGAGTGCTGGGTGCGATCCTCCGCCGAAGGAACTTGTGCCACTGGAGGTGACACAGGAGGGCGACTGCTCTCGCTGCGGAGAGTGTGGTCAACTTGGTGCTCACGCAACAACTCGGCTTCGCGGATGTGTCGGACTAACCTCTCCCAGCACTGGCTTTTGGAGCCATTCTTGCCCAAGCCAAGAGAAACAAGGGCAGCACGCATGACACGCAACGAGGAATTGCGATCAATGACAACACCGCTGACCGTCACAGTGTCAACGGCTTCACGTTCGTGAGGATGATCTTCGCCTCCATCGGGGGCGACCGGAGCAGCCTGGTCAGCAGCTTGCACAGGGTGATCGGGCATATCACCGACGCCGACGCCATCATCACCTGACACCTTAGCCTGCTCTGGAGAAACCACAGGTGCCGCAGCAGAGGCGCTGGGAGCATCAGCAGGTTCAGCAGCCGGTGCCGGCGTGTCAAACCCCAACTGGCTGGGACTCAAAGTCTTGTCATCATAAGCAATCGTAATCACCTGCTCCACATCTTGGTGCTCAAAAGGCAACGTGCGATCAGCTAAAGCGGCAACATCTTCAGCAAACTCAAGAAGCGACCACTCCCCGCCTCGGCGCACGAGAGTTGTGCGAAACCAAAGTAATTCACTCAACGGAAGCAGCGTCGTGTCAACGTATGACTGTTGAAAGGACAGTAATGCGTAGCATCGGTGCCCTATGCGTTGCCACCCCCCAGAACCATCAAGTTGATTGAGCGGATTTCGAAGCACTGCGCTTGGCTGCTCATGAAGCACGCAAACATTTCCAGTCGCACACAGGGATTGGCGTTTCAGCTTGACAGGTTCTCTCACATCGCCATTGGTCAAGATAAAGCCACTAGAGCTGCTTGCACAAGGAATCACATAGAACCCAGCCTTGTACAGCTTCCCGAGTGAAAGCAAGGGGCACGTGACTCCTCCGACCAAGAACCTCTCTTTGAACCTCAGAGAGCCAATCTGCACTTCGGCGATGCGAATCCCCTTGGACTTCAACGGCCTACCTGATGCATCGACGAACCGCTGTGTAGAGGACCCTGCAGCCTTTCCAACGGAGGCATAAGAATCAGGGAGAGCACTGATGTCTGCACCTGAGTCAAGAATGATGTCTTCAAAGAATGGCTCTACCACTGCACGAACGTGGCTCACATGCTCTGCAACAGCGGTGACAGCTGGGCACGACGCTGTCCTGTAACGGTCCACAAAGACTTGGGCTGTGTGCGCATCAAACGGACCTACGCCTGACTGCATTGTACCTACGTAAAACGGATCTGCAAAGGACTTGACTGGATCTGCATCACGGC